GGGGGGGGGGGGGGCAGTCTTTCTATTGCCTCAGAGTGTGGTAAATGAAGTTGACAGAAAGTGTAGGGATTTCCTATGGGGAAGTTCAGAGCAGAAGAGGAAAATGACATTGGTCGCTTGGGAGAAAATATGCAAACCTAAGGCACAAGGGGGGCTGAATATAAAAAGCTGTAGAAACTGGAACAAGGCATCTGTGGGAAAATTAATATGGCAAATAATGGAGAAGAAAGATACACTATGGGTGAAATGGATAAATGGAATATATATGAAAGGTGGGGATTTTTGGTGTCATGAGCCCCAGGTAAATAGCAGTTGGTACTGAAGAAGATTGAACAAACTGAAACTGGGAATGTCCAGTTGGTACAATAATGGGAAATACAATTTGACGAAGACTGGGAAGTACTCTATAACAAAGGGGTATATCAGTTAATAGGTGGGACACAGAAACGGGAACATGCGAAGCTGACATGGAATAACATTTGTCTACCAAAACACAAGTTCATCCTGTGGCTAGCTGTACAGAACAGGTTGCTAACACAGGAAAGAATGCTGAATATGGGTATACAGATTAGGGACTGTGGTTGTGATCTGTGTGGGGAAATTGAAATGGAAAGTGTAGACCATTTATTTACCAAATGTGAGTGGGCTACACAGGTATGGGAAGCTTTAGCAGAATGGAGTGGTTTCAAATTCCAGCAGAGAAGTATTCATCATACGCTACAATGGATGCAGAGCAGGAAATGGCCAACGACTAAGAAGTATATAGCAGCAACAATCTTTGCAGCAGGAGTATATAGCATTTGGCAGGCAAGGAATTGGAAGAATTTTAGAGAGATACAAGTACAACAGAATCATGTAATTAAGCAGATACAATATGTAGTTAGAGAAAGAATAGGTATGATACGGAATGGAAAAAGACTTAGAAAAATAGGCAATTGTATACACAAGCTAAATATAGATCAGTGATGTAGTGGTAGTGATAGAAGGAAACAATTGTATTTGAATATGGTGATGGACTGGTAATAAAATTCACATTTGTTACCAAATATCCTGCTAACCCCAAAAAGCTACGAATCTCTGTCGGGGTAGTGGGTCTAGGCCAATCCTTTACCGCTGCTATCTTCTGAGGATCCACCTGAATCCCTTCACTAGAAACCACATGACCCAAGAAGGCGACAGACTCTAACCAAAATTCACATTTGGAGAACTTGGCATATAATTGGTGCTGGTAAAGAGTCTGCAACACTGCTCTGAGATGGTCGGCATGATCCTCCCTGCTCCGCGAATATACAAGGATGTTGTCAATAAAGACGATTACAAAGGAATCCAGAAATGTCTTAAAAACCGATTCATAAGGTCCATGAACGCTGCCGGGGCATTGGTTAGCCCAAAAGACATGACCAAGAACTCAAAGTGACCATAGCGAGTTTTAAAAGCGGTCTTAGGAATATCTTGCTCTCTGATCTTCAACTGATGATACCCAGATCGCAAATCAATTTTGGAGAAGAACTTTGCACCTTGCAATTGGTGAAACAAATCATCTATCCGAGGCAAAGGATATTTATTCTTGATGGTGACTTTGTTAAGCTGACGATAATCGATGCACATCCGAAGCAACCCATCCTTCTTTCTGACAAAAAGAACCGGATCACCCTACGGCGACACACTCGGCCGTATGAAACCCTTCTCTAATAAATCCTTCAGCTGCTCCTTTAACTCCCTTAACTCTACTGGCGCCATCCTGTATGGTGGAATAGATATTGGCTGAGTATCTGGCAATACATCAATCCCGAAATCAATCTCTCTATCTGGCAGAATTCTTGGAAGCTCATCTGGAAACACCTCAAGAAACTCATTCACAATAAGCACGGTCTCGAGGGCAGACACTTCTGAGGTGGTGTCCGCCACCCGGACCAAATGATAGATACACCCCTTCTTAATCATCTTTGAAGCCTGAAGGTAGGAAATAAACCTACCCTTTGGCATCACACAATTCCCCTTCCACTCAATAACCGGCTCGTTAGGGAACTCGAGTTTCATGACTCTCGTTCGGCTGTCAAGTTTAGCAAAGCACAAATAGAGCCAGTCCATACCCATAATTACATCAAAATCTACCATCTCAAGCTCAATAAGATCGGTCGTGGTATCACGACCACATACAGTGACAACACAATTCCTATAAACTCGTGTGGCTGTAATAGAATAACCAACCGGAGTTGATACGGAGAACGGCTCATAAAGCTGTTCGGTTTCTATCCCAAAACTCGAAGCAATAAATGGGGTGACATAAGACAAAGAGGACCCCGAATCAATAAGAACATAACAATCAATGGCCTGAACAGACAAGGTACCTGTAACAACATCTGGAGAAGCCTCCGTACTCTGAAGGTCACCCAAAGCATAGAACCTATTAGAACTGCCCCTACCACGGGCTCCACCCCT